GCAGGAATATTGAAAGGGATTCCCTAGATAAACCATTGGCTCTTGCATGTAATTGCTACCCCCTTGTGAGCAAATTCGCTCTTAAGTTTGTATGTGTCTTCAATTTTAATGTTCATATCTTTATTTAAAATTTGCGTCCTCTTTCTTGAACTAAATACCCTTTGTTGCAGCATCATTGGCAAATAGTAGCTCGCCTTTGCAACAGAGAGAGAAGATTTATCTTCTGGCTGTGGGATATTACAGAAGTGGTGAATATTCAAGGAGCAGGCAGCTGGTGGACCAATGTCTGGAGGTCTCTTGTGTTTATGTCTGCATAAGTGCTGTTTTCTTTTTGTTTTTTGCTTCTTTATTCTGAATTTCAACTTTTTGTAGATTGCACCTGATTGGAGGCAGGCTTTGGTCCTGAAGAAGACACTTGAAGATCGAATTGCCAAAGGTATGCTCACTTTGAACATTTTTACTCTCATGATAGCATTAATCTGAATAAGTTTCAAAGTTATTTGTCTAAACAATGCTGAAAATGTTTGTCAAAATGCAGATGGTGTTATTGGAATAGGCATCACTGCTACCGCTGTGGGACTGATAGCTGGTGGAATTGCTGCAGCATTCGCTCGCAAGAAATGACAACTCTCAATCCCATCAATGTGCATAAAAAATATTTTCAAAGAAGAGCAGCTTTTTGTGTTTTCAGCTTTCTAAATAATTTTAGATTATGAACAGTAGCATCACTCAGTTATATCCATGTTACAACTGCTATATTGTTTGTAGACAATAGCGTTACCTAAATAGGAAGCTTGAGCTATGAGTTGGTTCTATCATATGGCCATGTTTGAATCAATAACTCTCTGTACATAGATTCTTGTATTTTGTATAGCAGCAGCCTTGGAAAATTTGAATATGCTGTAGTGCGTGCGGACTCGTGGTTCTTGTAACATAAAGCAAGAGCAAGATTGAAGAAATCTCTATTGATCTCCATACAGTGCAGGATTGTTTCTCGTATATGTTAGGATGCTGGACCAGCATTGTAATAGTATTTTAGGCGTCGTCCTATTTTTTATGAGAAATGGTAGTTTCTTTTGATATAAAAGAGTCACAGTCATGATTGAGGGGATGACAAATAAAGTGGGGGGTGGTTCCTAATTCCCGAATCCAGGTTTATCGCATTTATCGTTTCCCTAGGCCTAATATTGCTCGACTAAGCTAAAAAGGCATGAGGTATAGTTATGACTGCATGTTAAATTTATTTTTTTTTGGGACAATTTATGTATGTATATAATTAAATAATTTAAAAACTATGCATGTAAATAAATAAATAAAATAAAAAGTCAATAATGATACCTAAAAATAAAATTTAAAAAATTAAGAAACAAATATAGACTGAGATATTTAATTTTGAAAAACAGAACATGTAAATTTATTTATTAAAATAATTTTTTATTTAAGAAAATAATAATAAAAATAGAAATATAAATTAAATTAATTGAGTAAAATAAAAGGAAAAAAATCATGCAAAACTACACTTATTAGAAATATTATATAAAAAATAAAGTTCATCTATACAAAAATTATAGATGAATTAGAAAAGTTCTTCAAATGTAAATATTTAACTAAAAAAATCATTTAAAAGAGACTCTCCAAAAGAAATAAATACTAATTTAAATATAAATTAAAAATATTTAGAGAAAAAAACATAAAAAATCATTAATTAAAAAAAAAAAGAAAAAAAAAGCTAGGCCAACTTGTTTACCCCGTTTATCAAGGCCCACGTGTGGGCTTGCCTAGGAAGGCTTGCACGATTGAGAACTTAATGTTTTCTTTGTTTGCAACTTCCACCTCAAATTAGTTTGGAAAAAAAATTAAATGGTATGTAGTCTAATATGTTTATATTTTAGCCATTATAATATAAGTTTTTTTTTATCAAAAAAACTTGTTTTTCAACTTATTTCTAACATAAAATATTTTAGGAATTGTGATAAATATATTTATGGTTTTATAAACTCTAAAATAACCACCCTAAAAATTAAATCAACCTGAATTCAAAAATCAACAATATTTGTTTTTTTTATAAACTTTAAAGATAAAACAAAATAATATAAACTCTTCTCATTAAATAGAACAATTTAATACAAATATTGTCTATATTTGATAACTTAAATCAATATCAATAACATTTTTTTTTTATTGTTGGAATCTAATAACCCCTTTTTTTTCTATTTTTCCTCCCTCAACCTGAGACTAAAAAATAACAAAAACAACTTTTATGCCAAAATTGAATTCAAAAAATATTAAGTACTAAATTATATAATTTATGTGATTTTTATAGTTTAATAACCAAAATGTATCTTTTGCAAAACTTATGACATGCCATCTATGTTTTATATTTTTTTTTAATTTTTTTTAATTTTTTTTCATAAAAATAAAAATTAATTAATTTTTAATTATAATAAAATCACAAAAAAAAATTAATGACTAAATTAAAAAAACAAAAAATTTTACATAGTCTATCAAGAAAGTTCGCTAGAGAATAAACAATATAAAATAATACGTATCTACTCCTTGCTAGATGTCCGGACAAAGAAATTATTGTACGAGCACATTTTTGGTCCACGGTACAAAACTATTGCATGTGCTGCAAGCCTTCCAGTCCATTTCTTGTGTACGTCACCAAAACGAGGGGGGCTCGATTCTGAAAAATAAAAGACAGAGAAACATGTGATCCTCCTACTTTGTGCATTGGTCAAATCAAGTCCTCTAATTTAACTTTGATCAAATCAACCCCTTTACTTTCAATAAAATACGACATGAGATCCTGTGTCCTAATATATCATAACTCACAGCATTGACCGGCCGATTATATAGTGATAAAGTTTGATTGAGGGGCTCATGTCAGCATTTATTAGAAATAAAGGGGCTGATTTGAGCCAATTTAACGCTAAGGGTTTGATTTGATCAGAGGTAACAAGCAGGGGAAACAAGAAAAAGACAGAATTTTCAGGGGATATAAGATAAAGACACAATTTACAGGGTGCTGCAAAGTTTTTAAGGATTTGTTTCCTTTTCCAGATTTTTAAAGGGCTGAAGAACAACAAAGATGGCATGGCATGACACCGACTTCACCAGCTCAACCTCACATTGCAACAAAAGAGTCATCGTCTGTTCTGCCCAATTATGCTTAGTGGCTATGGTGGCCCTGCAAATTTGTAGCCTGTCCATCTCGGCTTGTTTGTCATGACTACTTTACACACAAAGACAGATTGGATCCATGCCGACGCTGTTCATGATTTTCTTGCCGAGTTGTATTGATAAAGAGAGCATTTCATCCATCCTTGTTATAGGCAAGGCAGGGAAGCAAATATATTTACCCTTAAAACCTGAGTAAAAATCACACTTTGAGGGTCCGAATCTTTTTTCCCTCGAAATTAACACTAATTTCGAAATCAATATTATTGTATTTGCAAACAATTATAAGTTTGATTAGATGACAAACAGAGATATACCTTAAACATTGCCATGATTGCCTAGATAAATCTTATCTTTTGATTCAAATTTCATTTCCTAATTTAGCCTCTAATCTGACAAAATATAGCTCTAGAACACCAAAGATTTTATCCTTAATCAATTCAAAAATTCAAAGAAAATTCCAAACCTCCTGTCTGGTAGTGCTGTGCAGCTTTTTTTTTAGATTACATTTAAATAATGTATTTTTAAAAGATTTTTTTCATTTTTGTCATTAATATATCCAAGTTATTGAAAAACATCTAAAAATATATGAATTTAATGTTTTCTCACTAAAAAATTATTTAAGAAACAGATCAAATCTCAAAAACAAAACACTCCCATGATGACATCCATCTTCACCTTCCAACTCACTTGAAAGCTCTACTTCATCCGTACTTAACCTCTGTAGTTCTCTCTATCAACCTTCTTATACCTAAAACCCAGGCCAAGAAAGCAAGAGCAAGACTGGAGAAAGCAAAAGCTCCCCAACAAGCAAAAACAAAACAGGAGTAGAGTAAACAAGAAAGGAAGCAATACAACAGTAGCTCATAGAGAGTCAACGAGATCCATTTCTCCATCATGGGCTGTTATGCTTCAAGACCAAAGACCCTCCTCACAGAGAACCACCATCCTGAAGATTCCTTATCTTATGCTTCTCCTGCTAAAGATAACTCTGTGTTTTCTCCACAATATTCTTCACAATCAGTCCCTAGAGCTTTCTCTTTTCGAACCCCATTGGTCCACCATCCACCTTCAAGGAAAGGTGACTCTCACCACCTCGTGTCTCTAACTTCCTCCACTTATGGCTCTCTTGTCCTCGTTGACCCCAAAAAGAACACCCCAAAACCCTTTGATCAGCCACAATCACCAAGAAAAACAACCAAAAAGATACATAAAGCACAAAATAATCGAGACCCTTGTGAGCCTTTATCCCCTGATTCTGTCATTAACACTTGGGAGCTCATGGATGGTCTTGATGAGGATGATGGCCTTGATTTTGAGATCAATAACTCTTTTAAGCCAAGGTCATCACATTCTGATCATGCTATCGAGTTTGTCTCCAAAGCCAGTTCTCTTCATCATCCGAGTTCTGATGGGTGTGTGAAAAAGCTACATGCTTCTTGTGATTCGGTGACATTTGTAGTTGCTGAAAAGCCAGTTTCATTGTCAAAGCCATTATGGAAGCACTTTTCTGAGGAATCATTGCTTTCAAAGATGGATCCCAATGTAGCAGCAAGTTATACGCGTGCATTGTCATCAAGGCAATTGGGGTGTCACAAGGAGTCCAAGGATGCAACACCAGTGGATTCTAGTCCCATGAGTTGTACTTTATCAAGTAAAAATGGGACCTTTTTGAATGCCAAAAAAGGCAAAATTGTTCTGTATTTTACAAGTTTGAGAGGAATAAGAAAAACATACGAGGATTGTTGTGCGGTTAGAATGATATTCAGAGGTTTCAGAGTTGCAGTTGATGAAAGAGATATTTCAATGGATTCTACCTATAAAAAAGAGGTGCAAAGTTTGCTAAAAGGGAAACCAATGAGCCTTCCACAAGTTTTTTTTAGAGGAAATCATATTGGCGGGGTGGAAGAAATCAGGCAGCTAAATGAAGCTGGTGTATTGGCAAAGCTGTTAGAAGGTCTTCCTGTTCTAGATCCCACGTTGGTTTGCGAGACTTGCGGGGATGCAAGGTTCGTGCCATGTCCAAATTGTAGTGGGAGTAAAAAAGTATTTGATGAAGAACAAGAGCAATTGAGAAGGTGCCCTGATTGCAACGAGAATGGTTTGATTCGTTGCCCTGGTTGCTGCTCATAGATTATGCTTACAGTGCTTCAGTTTGTTGCTCGCCTTCAAAATTGCAACTTCTATCTTACTACTTGTAATCACCAATTCCATTGAAAACAGTTTGTTCTCATGATCTGTTTACATTGCTACTCCTACAGTCCTATTTGTCAAGCTCTAGGGTATAATTCCCCACTGTCTCTCTAAACAAGATCAATAAGAATCAACATTTTTTTATGCTTCTTCTTTGTTTATTTTAGCTTTCAGGATTGTGATCATTTGTCTCTTCTTTTGGTGGAACATTCAGTAAAGATGCATTCGAAAGAATATCCAGAGATTTTTCGTGCTGCAACAGTGTTTGGTGAATCTACTCATTACTGTATTTGGTCCCTTCATGACATATCTCCACTTTGAGTAATGTACTCGGAAATTAGAGAGTGATTATAATGGGTATATTTGGTGATGAGAAAATCTAATTATCAGGTCGTTGGTCCACAAAATTGATGCTGCCCCGTGCAGATTGAATGAATGACTGGTAGAGATGGAATCATGGATTCTTCTCTGCCAATACGTGAAGAAAGTCTTCAAAACAAAAATGGCCATACTAGCGGGTCAGAATAGCATATGATGAACCAATCTCAGATAAGCCTGCTTGCTGCATGATATCAGTGAGATGAAAAACAGACTGTCCCGTGATGTCCATTTTCCCAGGTCTCGTATTTCATCTCCCATGCCTTGATGTTTGAACTTTGACCAGAGCTAGGGCTGCAGCTGCCTTCAAAATCTCTATCTTCCAAACTGAAAATCCAGAGATGCAGGCAAAACAGGCACGAGGAATCCTTTGACAGCATCATAGATGGTACTGATATAAAAACGTGATCATTGTCACTGATGAAAAAAAAAAAAAAGAATTCTTAGGATAGATCTCGAGTAACTATTTCACTATCAAATTGAATATATATTATAATTGTGGCAGAGAAACTACCCCAGCTAGCACAAGACCAGAGTTACAACGACAGTGTATCCCAGCGCGTATAAGCCCGGTTACACTTGTATCGTGTTGGCCTCCGCACGCCTTCATGCGGCTCTGGCAGCGGGACATATCAAGAGAGATTCTTCTCCGGGCGGGAAGCTCTGGTCCCCGGGCAGGATAAAGACGGCGCTGTTCTAATTACCTGGAGGAACCATGCTAGAACAATGCCAAATTAGAATCCTGGGTCGTCCTATGACCTTTTCCACGCCCACTACAAGGATAAATCATAAATCCATTAAATGCTGCATTGTCCCTGAAGCAGATGTCTCCATGCGCAGGGAATCTCCTGGATAGAGTTTGGAGCAATTCTCACTTATTGGACACTGTCCATGACATAAGCATTCACTCCCATCGGCAATCCACAACTCCTAGATAAGAGATTTTGTATTCAGAGGTAGTTTGGAGCTACTATTCAATTTATTTTTTTATAAAAAAATTAATTTTTTTAAATATTTTAAAATTATTTTAATATGTTAATATTGAATATAATTTTTTTAAAATAAAAAAATTATTTTAATATAATCAAAATAAAAAATAATCACTGCTGAACTTTCAAATACTCCACCTCTTTACGTAAATCTTTGAACATTAAAGAAGTTAAGTATCCTCAACCTTCCTACCAAATTTATTTTATAAGTTTTCAGCTAAAAGAGACACATCGTCATTGTAAATTCTTAATAACCAATAATAAATAAATAAATAAATGGCAAGGAGTAAAATAAAGCTTTCAAAGGATACCCAATAACATGTTGGTTGTCTTTTCGGGAGAAAAAAATTAATTCTTAACATGTATAATTTGACTCAAAAATTTATCAATTTTTGAGAGTCTTTTATTGTTTTAGTTAATCATTATGTGTGTGTGTGTAAAGACAATCACCCTCGCTTAAGGGGGGATATAGAGTAAATTTCTAATAAGGTAAATAAAAAAATCCCATTTATTTAAATAAAACGTATTTTTAAATAATGCTCTATAACACACACACACACACACGAAGAGATAATTAGTATGAGTCGAGTCAGGTTTTTGCTTTATTTGGTTTGTGTTTCTTTGAAAACTTGGGCATCAGATAATTCTATTAAATTAAAAAATTGCTAGGTTTAGGATCGTGCCATTTCTTTTTATTTCCGGCATGCTTATGCAAGAATTAAAAAAAAATCAATCAAGTGCGATGAAATTTTGTCTTGTCATGAGTCAATTTTGTTGAGTCAATTAAATTTTATTAAATTAATATTTTTATTTAATTTAAAATCCAAATTAATTCGTTAAACCTGATTTAATAACCATATAGAATTATTAGGTTATCAAAACTCTATCGAAAGAGAACAAAATATAACCAAAGTCGAAACAAAGCACAGTAGGATGGGCCTCCCAAGAATCCAGGCCCGTTTAACGAAACCACCCTTACTGCAGTGATGCACGCGCCAGACTATGGCGTGGGATTTCACGAAAAACGAGAACTTCAGACAGCACCGAAGTAAATGATTTTGCGGATGACAAGAACTTACTGTCGTTGAACATTCAACTCTTAATCGAGAACTTTAACGTCACTGCTGAATTACCTAACCACCTCACCCGCGGGTTTTTCCCCTGGACAGGAGGCAGATTTCCGGAAGAAGAAAAGAATTCTGGCTGTGACGTAATAACAATCACCCTCCATGTTATTTCTGGGTGAAACAGTAATGGCTGTAGCCAGAGAGCACCGGTAGGGGTACTGTAAATTCCTAAAAATCCCAATTTAAGAAGGGAAAGATCTCTTTCCCATATCTGTAGTTACCGTTAAGTAATGTGGTACGAACATATTTTTTAAAAAATTAAATTTATTATTTATTTATTTTTTTAATATATTAATTGTAAAAATAAAAATAAAAATTATTTAATATATTTTTAAACAAATAATAATTTAAGAGTAACCAAATAATATTTTAAAAAATTATTATTATCATATTTTTAAACAAGTTGATTGATATAAGAAATATTTTTCCTTTTATTTTTTAATTTCTTTTTAATTATATATATGTATATAATTCTTGTGAAAAATAAAATATTACCACTTTTATTATTTTTAATTGCATATAGTTAAAAAGATATTGTATATTGATGATTAACTTTAGAATTATGATTTTTAGTTTTACAGCATGTTTGCTTTTATAAAAATAAAATCCTTGTGAAATTATGCTTGATAATATCAAATTCTTATTACATTATAAAACATATAAAATCAATTCATAAACTTTAAATAAACAAATTACTAGCAACAAAATTATATGTTTCAATACATATATATTATCAATTATTGATTTTAAATAAGCAATTCAATATAATCAATTAAAAAAATAAACAATGAAACAATCTATTTAATAAAGTATACGTTTTTTAGAAATTACAATTTATAACCCAAATTTTATTGTACGCATAATAATTTACATTAGATATTGCTCTACAGTTCAATTAATTTTATTTGCATCAAGAATATAAATTGTAATTTTTTAAAATATAAAGGGTAAGTCTAAAAATTATTAAGCTAGAGGATGCTTGAAACTTCATTTTCTGAATTTTATTTGGAGTATTGCTTCTTCTTTTTATATATAATAACATAAATGATAAATAGGAAAGTATTGTATCCCTGTACTATATAGGCCCCGCGAGCCATGGCACGCATGTCACCAGAAATTGGAGAGATCAGTCTTCTGGGAGAATGTTCTCACCATAGAAAGCACAACTCATAGTTCATACAGTTCCCATTTGAAGAAAGTAAACAAATAATCTGACAAGTAAAGGCACAGATACAGACTTCCATTTAGAGAGAGATTAAAAATAACAGACACAGTCACGTTCGTTTCAAGGGGAGGTTCTTGGGAGAAATGGAGCAAAATTTACTAACGGAGAGACCGAATGAAGAAGGAGGAGCTCATCAAGAAAAAGAAAATGGGAGTTTTGGAATGGAGTCTCTGGGGAGGTGCTTGAGCGGCTTTGTTGATGAAGGTAGCACAGAGAGCCACAGATACTATCTTTCCAGAAGAACGGTGCTTGAGATGTTAAAAGATAGAGGCTATTCTGTTCCAAGTTCAGAGATTGACATTTCTTTGCAAGATTTTAGAGGCGTTTATGGTCAAAACCCTGATATTGAACTCCTCAAATTTTCTGCCACCCATAAATCAGATCCTTCAAAAAGGGTATGTTGATTCTAGGGTTTGTTGGTTTTTCATTTCTTGTTTGGTTACTGAGAAAATTGTATTGAAAAGGAAGTTTTTATATTTTGGGTTTGCAATGTATTCCCCTTTCCCATATGATTTTTGGATGGGTTTATTGGAATATGTGTCAGTAGATGAAATCAATCACTGCATGTACACTGATCACCTTTATCTGCACCCAAGTTAGCCTAAGATTGCAGTTAATTAATCATGCATGTGGTGAAAACCGTGATTGAAGCTGTTCAGTTCAAGTAGCATGATAATCAAAATGAAACTGAATATAGTTGACTATGGTGGATGGTGAGATAATAACGTTTGTTGCTGTGATAATGTTTTCTGAATTGTGGCTACAAAATTGTGAGATGGAAGTATTATATCAATCACACTATGTTTTTGGTTGAAGGAGTCAGTTAATGTCTTTACTGGTTATTTGAATTGCAGATGCTGGTGATTTTCTGTGGCCTTGGTGTGGTTAAAGTTAGCATGATTCGTCTCATTACGGTTCAGATTACCGACAGAGACAGTTTGACTGGTCTGATATTAGTCTTGCAAAACAACATAACTAACCAAGCTATGAAAGCTCTGGATCTTTTCAAATTCAAGATTGAAATATTCCAGGTATGACTCCTAAGTAATTAATCTTATTTTCATGCTTTACATATCTAGATGTTATTAAGAAAGGGCAAAAAAAGCCACTGCCTCGTTATGTACCTGCTAATGTAGAATCTTGAGTAGGAACACTAGAGTTTTACCCTTCAGCGATTCAGTACGAAGTGGTTGTTTTGATGTATGGAATCTTCATTTTATCTGTTCCAAGCCCAGGATTCTTAATATTGGACTGGGCAATGGCCCTCATTCTTCTTTATGTATTAAATTCATCATGCCATATTTTTATTGTTGTAATGGATGGTGTGAAATAGCATGCAAATCCAGTTTTAGGTTGTCGTTTGAATTTCACATCAAATGTCCTTGTTTGAGTTGTCTTCTTGATGTCATAATGTTAAGTGTCTTTTGGGTTCTTATCCCCATTAACTGTGGCTCATGGGATTTTTGTGCTTTAGGTGGTACTTCTACAAATTGATTATGGCTGCATTTTCCTTCTTTTTTTTTTTTGTTCAGAGAGGTCAGAATGTTCTTCATTGAGTGCTTCTGGAGGATGTCCATAATGAGAATTAACAGTGGTGGAAACTTTCTTTATTGCATTCTGTTAATTTTCAACTGGATTCATTTCACTTGCTGCCTCCAAGAAAATTTTAATTATGCCCCCTTGGTATATCTTCATAATTACTTCTTGATTGCAAATAAATGAGAAGTGATATATTGAAATTCCATTGCTTTGCGAATCATGGGGCCATGAGCATGTCAAAATTAAATGAATTGTTAGGAAGCAATCATATTTCAAAATTGCATCGACAGAGATGGTTTACTGCTGGAAGTTGTTTTGGAAAAACATGTTCAGCTGTTTATAAGTTGTTGACAGAGCCATGCAACAATAGAACAAATTAGACTGCACCCTTGTTCGGGTTTAGAACCTAAAATGCAGGAGTTATGGTTGAAAATCAATACTGTTCAGAACAAATTCTTAGGTTACTGTATGCCCAAATTTGTTAACTTGTGCACTTTTTATCTTATGGTAATTAAGTGCGCATATTGCTTTACAGTGCAGAACAATTTCTACATGGCTTTTCTCTATATAATTTTGTTTTTGGATATTAGACAAAGGGTGAGTATTTAGACAGTAACTGCCTATGTTAATGTAGCTTTTGGCAATATGTAACTTGTATGCTGATTGCTTTTTGTGTTCTAGTCACAAAGTTCTCTAATTATGTTCCTAGTATTTGACGATGGTTTGGTTTGTCCTCAGATAACTGACTTGCTTGTTAATATCACAAAGCATATATTAAAGCCAAAGCATCAGGTGCTAAGTGAGCAAGCAAAACAAAGGCTATTGAAGAAGTACAGTATAGAAGAAAAGCAGGTCAGCTTTGAAACCAAGAAAAGCTATAAATGATGTCTCCTGGAATATATTTCTCGCTTGCTCCCTTGTTATGTTTATTGTTTCTTAAATGGTTAATTACTTTTCTTGATTGATTTGTCTGAATATTGTCTGTCACAAAGATATTAAAAAATAGCTGAAATGATATTTAGAATAAGACGCAAGTAGAAGGCTCGCCTTGAGAAAATATGATCATCCGAATTTCTATATCACATGCATTTTAATGGTCAGTGCATCAATATAATAGATTCTAGCTGTATTCACTTGATTAATAAATGATATAATTATTCCCTTAAGTATTTTCCCTAGTTGTGCAGTGGTTAATGATTCAAAAGTTGTGTTTTTACTACAAAGTCATGCCTTGACTGTGACTAATTCTCTCAATCTGAGTAACGTTTCATTTCTCATATTATTTATAATTTACTTGACTGATAGTCTCAACTATCAATTCTAATATTAATCTTCATTTCCTGTTATTTGATAGCTTCCTCGACTGTTAAAGAATGATGCAATTTCACGATACTATGGCCTCGAGAGGGGACAGGTGGTGAAGGTCACCTATGATGGTGATATTACCGGGTCACATGTAACTTATCGTTGTGTCTGGTGATGTAATGTGTTGTTCACAATGTCTTACCGTGGATGTTGTAGAATCTGTTGTATGTTATGCCTGCTTGTGCTATGGATACTTTTCAATGACATTTTATCATTGGTACTGTGTAGCAACCTTATCTTCTCTATGATCTTCTTCGTTCTTTCTGGCTCGTAGAGTGAGGCACAACTTGAACCAGAGAGTTAGAAAGAGTATAACTGTAGGAATGGGGAATATTTTGGGAATTGAAAGCATGTTGTCTGTGTTTCGTTTGAAACACGACCATAGTGGGCAGCTTTATCTCGTTAGTTATTCGAAATTGGAAAGTCTCAATAAAAAGAAAAGTGGGATATATCAGATAAGACTAGCATTGGGCTCCATAGATAAATCCTCCACTAGCTACTTAACAATGCTTATGCCGATTCTGCTAAGGTATGGGCTGGTCTGTTACAATTTCAGGACAGATGATGCAGAGGGAAAGCGTGGTGCTTGCTTATTAATATCTAGGTTATTTCCAACAGGGTCCCCTCAATAGGATAGATTCAGCAAAACAACGCAAGCCATGAGCCCAAGCAGCCTGCGGCAGCTATTCTCCAATTGGTTTTGAATTGTCTAGTTCTGCAAATATTTTTCCCTCCCATTACAAAAATGATTGATTTTTCCTTTATTTCATATCATCATATGACCACTCTGATGACAGGAAATTCTTGCTCGCAAGACCAAAATGTTATTCATTAACACACAGTGCACTGTCGGAGAATCAAGAAAAGAGTACCCCATGCACCAAATACATTACACTATAAAACTGAGCTTCAATTTTGGTAGATTGATAGCCATCAATTGTGATTCACATTTACAGTGTTTTATAATTAGTCAATCAAATGAATATACTGCTAAAACATGAATCCTTCTGCCTAGAATCCTTCATTGTTCATCTTTGACTACATTTTCATGAAGTTTTGGTTATCTGAGTTGATGAAAAATCTTCATCATCAACAAAATCATTATTCGGTACATGCTCTGCCTTCTTCATTTCTGCATGAATATCATGGACTAAAGAATAGATAAGATTAGATTGATAATGAGACTTGTCACGAGCTAAAAACACGTGAACCCTGTTTCCAACTTCAATCCAACTGCAACCAGGTTGCTTTTTCAATCCCTTTTCTTTCATTTTCAACCTCACTCTCGAGGCTTCTCTCCATTTCCTACCAGAAGCATATATGTTAGACAACAACAAATAGGTTCCTGCATTCTCGGGATCCTCCTTTTCGAGCTCTTTTGCAGCCAGCTGCCCTATTTCCAGATCCCCGTGGACGTTACATCCAGCAAGTAAACCGCTCCAAATAGAGGATGATGCCTTGGTCCCTAGCTGCTTAATAAAATCAAAAGCTTCCTTGAGCCTCCCTGCTCGACCACATAAATCCACCAAACATGCATGATGATCCTCTCTTAATTGTATGGAATTGTCTCTCCCAAGCTCGTCAAAGTAGTTTAGTCCCTCATCCACCAAACCAGCATGGCTGCAAGCATTGAGCAATTCCACATAGCTAACATCGTTAGGCTTAAACCCTAAACCCCGCATGTCCTCGAACAATTCAATTGCCTCCATCCCACATCCATGATGTGCATAGGCTGCAATCATACCATTCCACAAAACCAAATCCCTCTGGCCTATCACTACGTCATCAAAAATTTTCCTTGCAATAGTCAACTCCCCGCATTTCGAGTACATATTCAAGAGTGCAGATGCGACAAATGTCCTATCCTGATAAGCACTTTTACTGATCAACAAATGAACTTGCTGCCCTTCACCAAGACCAGCCAAGTCACTGCAAGCTCCCAAAACATTAACAAAGGTTCCCTCATTAGGCTTGGCTCCACCATCCTTTATCATTTCCACAAAGACCTTCAATGCTGATTCACTTTCTCCCTCTTGAACATACCCAGTTATCATGGTAGTCCAGGAAACAACATTCTTTTCAGGCATCTCATTGAACACCTTCCTTGCCCATGCTAGCTCTCCATTCTGAATAAACCCTGTGATCATTGTATTCCACGAGGATAAATTCCTTTCAGGCATCCTCTCAAACAAATCAAAAGCCTCATCCAGCCTCATATTCCTGGCATAACCAGTAACCATCGCATTCCATGACACAACATTCCTCTCTGGCATCCTATCAAAAACCTTTCTAGCCTCGTCAACTCTCCCAGACCTCGCCAACCCCATAACCATCGTAGTCCACGAAATCACATCTCTTTTAGGCATTTCATCAAACCTCCTCCTAGCCTCCTCCACCCTTCCACATTGAACCAAAGCAGCAATCACTGTATTCCAAGAAACCATATTTTTCTCATGCATCCTCTCAAACACCTCAATAGCCTTATCTACCTCCCTATTTTTTCCATACCCATCAATCATTGTATTCCAAGAAACAACATTCTTCACTGGCATCACCTCAAACAAGCTCTCAGCTTCCTCAATCCTCTTCAACCTCACATACCCACTTAACATCGCAGTCCAAGTGACCACATCTTTAATTGCATCAACTCTATCAAACAACCTCCTTGCTTCCACAATCAATCCACATTTTATATACCCAGAAATCACTGCTGTCCATGTCACCACATCTCGTTCATACATTTTGTCAAACACTTGACGTGCGTCATTGATATTCCCTTCTCTACTTAGCCTAGTGATTAGCAAATTGGAACGTGCTATGTTAGAATTGCGAATGCAATCTCTATTAGGTGCTGAAATTTTGCTTGAATGATAGAGGTTACACAGAATTAAGGGTAATCTATTAGTTTTTCTTGAATAGGACAAAGTGTTTGGTATTTTAAACACTAATTGCATTTCAGAACACAGCAATCGACAAGCACCCAAGTCTTTGTTTTTTTATCAGAGACAAAAGGAAGCTTATCCTGCTTAAGAGACTCAGACAGGCCGGCAGAACCTGCAATCTGACCAGCCTGGTTTAAAGTAAAAACCTGGTCACAACCTAATTCTTAACATGTTAACTTCTTTATATTATTCAGTCAAAGCACAGTCAAAACCTATATCGTTATACGTTAATTTTTTTAATAAAAAATTAATATCAAAACAATAATATTTTAATTTTTCTTTTAAAAAATATTGTTTAAGATTAACTTTCAGACCGGAACTCAACCATGTCCTGAACCATTTAGGTGGTGGTCAAGTGATAAAAACTTGGGATTAAAGGGTTTGTTCTCTCTGTAGTCTCATATTTGAATCCTTGGTTGTTTATATGATGGCCACTGGAGATTTACATGGTCGTTAACTTCAGGACCCGTGGGATTAGTCGTGGTATGCGCAAACTGGCCCGGACACTCACATTAATCTAAAAAAAAAAAACTATGTTCAAAATAACACTCGACTAGTTTTTGAAGTTTTGTTAAGATTTGAATATAAGAAAATTCGAGATTTTTAATTGTTTCTAAATTTTAATGGCTTAATTCATTAATTTAATTGTGTATTTGCTAAAATCTTTTAATTTTATCTTTATGTTAATAGTATTTCTTCACTCAGATACTATTTGATATGCGAAATTTGTTGAAATCATATTATACATAATGTTTGTTTCATTTTCCATTTAATAATATTTGATGCAAGAAAAATAATTAAAATTAAGAGGTCTCACAATCATTTACAATAGCGTGACAGGCAGAAACATCAGCCCAGATATTTCATTTCATATCTCTAATGCCTTGCAGGAGCAAGGCTCACTAAATCACACCCCCCTTGCAGTGCCACCACAGAACAAACCAAATCGAACGTGCCTTTCATTGGTATATTTACAGTTGCCGCCGATCTATATGCAATTCATGATGGCTTGCGGTTCAACCATCAGTGCAATGGAAAAAACAATTGAAACGTTCATCTTTTAAATCTCACACCTTGCAAACATTCATAGCACAATTGCAGAGGATTGAGAGCTCCAAATTCTGCAGAATAGTCTCTTCTGTGGATATGATCTGCAAAAGTCGGTTTAAATAAGAGTTACAATTCCAATGTGTTGGAACTAAAATTCCAACTATCTTTGAAGAACCAAAATCTTGAGCTGTTGAGTGAGATCCCGCCTGACCGTAAAGGTTCTAATATCAATATCATGTTAAATAACCATTTCAAATATAAGAAGGATACAGGCTCAACATGCGAACATGAATTCAAGCACATGAACACTTTATTTAAATGCTCTGCCAAGGAAATGAATTCAACTTCTGTAACTGGCACTGGATAAGCTGAACTTCATCACGATTATTTAACATGCCCAAATCAGTCTGCTGCAAATTCCCCACGTACCAAACAATCTTTCTCATTTGTTAAGATTCCCATAAAAAGACAAGGCCACAAGTTGCAAAGATAGTTGAAATAAAGCTATAATGGGATTTTGAGGATCATAAAAAAACGTTGTCGGGAGTAAACAAACCACAGAGACCAAAATGGAACATAAGTGACTGCCCCAGAGCAAAGGTCCTCTCCCAAAACCTGAGGCATTGGAACAACCTCATAGACCCACCTCTGAGCCCGTGCAGTTAAGAAACCTAGCTTCATTCATATGCTTCACTAGCGATCCATTAGGAAAGGGTAATGGTCCACCTCTATCAATAAATTATCTAGTGAACTAGGACTCAAATTCCCCAAAATTCGCAATAATGAAAGCAGCAATTGAGCTTTTCTCTCTTTTTGTTGATGAATGAGAAATTCGTATATTGAAATTCACTAAGTAGGATGCTTAGCAGAGAAAATAGCCTTCAAATCTCAGACATGAATATCATGAGATTAATTTAGCTACATACTAAATCCATGTCTGCAATATCTTAACCTAGAAATTTAAAATGATGAGCGAAACCCAAAAATATTATTTATATTATTTTTTAATATGTTAAAGCGCTTAAAACTTATATTATCTCACATTATTTTGTTTTATTAATTAATTTTAAACAAAAATAATAATATTGCTGAGATTAAAACTCATAACTTTTTAGTCAATAAAGCTCTTATAACATAACAAAAAATATTCTTAATCTAAAATCTTAAACTATTATATAAGATGTCAAGATATGCAAAAACAAGCCAGCACCATGAATTTAGTGAAAACTTCTCAACTGCTATAACCACCACCATGGTATCTAAAACCCATAAATTAAGATGTCCAAGACACAGACGCAGGCTGCCAAACTTTGAAGTTCATGCACGGGCATATAGAAAGAGATGCACTGGCTTTGTATAACCAAATGAGGTGTCAGATAAGACTCCGTCAGCTTCCGGTGATAATGAAAATGACACTGTGGGATGACGAAGTAAAGTTCCTGAAAACCTTGACAGAGAAACCTGGTGATAATATAATCATGAATAAACCGCCTTTGCACCGCTGGCCCTCCCTCCAGAAAAAAATGAGGTCAAGGAAAAAAACAATTACCGCTGAAATTACAACTTCATTCTAGTTTTACATTTCTGTCAAGGTCAGCTCTTTCCCATGATTGTACATTCAAAGGAAGCTCTACATCAAGCAATACTGGTAACTACATAAACTATGAAAGTAGTCTCCTTTCTTAATCCTAATCACACATAATTCCTAGAAATTTCAAAAGACACAAACACAAACACTAGACAGAAAGCTCAGCCGTGCCACGGACAAAATGAAGACGTCATGCATCCAACTGCTGTTTATCAGCAGAAGCTGGGAACTAAAGAAGAAACTCGATTACAAGAAAAACATATGCCTTTTCGAGACTAAATTAAAAAAAAAACACCAATTTATTTTGATATTGTAAATTCCAGCAGTTAAGCAGCTGTTGTAGAATTTAACAAGCACCAGAAGACATCAGATTGATTCAATAATTGGGGCCAAGGAATCAAACTGAATCCAATAAAGAAAAAGAAGGATATATGGGAAGATCAATAAAGAAGCAGCAATTTCCAGATTGAATTAGATAAGAGAAAAGGTTTGCAGATACACAGAAGATAAGGCAATAAATATGGGAAAAGAGAGAGAGTTACCTTCTTTTTCTTTTTTTTTTGAAGGAAAAGGATCAGCCAACATGAAAAGGACCAATATCTCCAGTTCTAAGAGAGCTGGCAAGCTCATCAGCAACAGTCAAGCAAGAAGAAACCCATCCAACAAGTGCCACCCACACCATATTTGCCATCCATAAGGCCATGCCCCATGGCATTGCCATTTCCCCTCTGTCTGTTTCTCTTTCCCCTTCTCTCTTTCTAT